TATTGCCAATTTATGTTTCTTGCAAATATTCTTTATGCTTAATACTGTCAGGATCCAGTTTTTAAAGTGGTTATCCCACACAGCAACACTACACAAAAACAACAGTCGAGTTTCAAACCAAAATATGGTTTATGTAGGCAGTTTGAGTGAGGGGCTTAAAATACAATATTCCAGACCAACATAGATATTTCCAGAATATTTTGGGACACATGGGAAACCCTGTACTGTGATATTTTGTACATTCCTGCACCAAACTGTACAGCTACCATTTAAAACAGAAGTCATATTGTACACTATTGTTTTATATTTTTTTCACATATCATTGTCAATTTTCTATTTATGCTTCTTGACTTGCAGTACTTGTTTTCATCTTTATTTATATTTTCCTTGTTCTATTCTTATATACCAAGGCAAATTCCTTGTAAATGAAAACATACCTGGCAGTAAACATTAGTCTGATACACTTCCTTCATACATCAGGCTGTGATGAGAAACTGTTTTATTGATTTCTTACTACTTTTTTTTTTTTTTTGCCTTTATTGATAGGTACAGCTGAGATAGACAGGAAAGGGGGCAGAAGAGCAGAGGGGATGACACGCAGCAAAGGGCCACAGGTCGGATTCGAACCCAGGCCGCTGCAGCAACTCCGTATATGGGTCGCCAGCTCTACCGACTGAGCCAACCGGGCGCCCGATTTCTTACTATGTTTAAGTAAAAAGAAACTCTTGTTATTCCCCGATCAGCAGTTAGAGTAAACAGTGAGAAGCTTGAAGCTGTGATAAAGCCTGCAGGGGGTAGGAAGGATTAGAAATAACTTCCATTTACACATATTAACCCCAGGCTCATTACAGAAGGAGCAGTGATGTGATGAGAAAGGCAACCTCTGGGAGTGCTCCTTGCCCTTTTTGTCCTTGCTGTGACTGACTTTTTTCTTTTTGGATGTCTGAGGGATTTCTAGGCCTGTGATTGGTTGATCAACTATTCTAATCATTCAAACCTACACATTGAAACTTCAATACATGTTTTAGCTTACAAAAGACCTTCATCAAATTGCAAATACTTTGCTTATGACAGCCACCAATGGAACTATTTTTGACATAGGAGATCATTTTGTGATCAGTGTAACTTTGTCTTGTGTATAAGCAGCATGTCAGCACCTTGAGCCACACTGCCACTACAATCCTCTATCACTGTGTACACTCTAATACCAGATAGTTAATTCAACTTTTATTAAACTGATTACAACAAAAATGAGTAAAGTAAAACTAACTAAATTTTGTAAGTTAAAAACATTCCTTTTTTAAGTAGCTTTAGTCATTTTAAGTGACACTATCTTAGTTTTGGAATTTTCATTTGTACTGTGAAAACAAGGAATGTTTCTGTTACTTACAAAACTAAGTTAGTGTCACTAAAATTACTAGTACAAGCTGCTTAATCAAGAATCTTTAACTTACAAAATTGAGTTTGTGATATGACGTAATCTGTTTCAACAATTTTCTTGAGTTATAATAATTACAGTGAACATTCTCATTTCTGTAGTACTGAAGAGACAGCCTGGTCTACAAATCTTGTTCTCCAGATTTAAATTTATTCGGTACAGACCCCCCCCCCCAAATCTTCTAATTTCAGTGAAAATTTCATTTGTGTTGCAAAAGTGATCATTTTCACTATCTATTAATTAATATATACTATAATAGATAATTACAATATCTGTCAAAATATTGCAATATGATGTTACCATGCAGTCCTAACTCAAATGAAACTAAAAAATAGAAATTACTGGAGGACAGATTATTATCCTGTGCAAAGATGAGGCTTGAATGAGATGCTGAAACCTCCTCCCTCTGTGATCACTAATCCTGGTGTTA